GTGAGCATACTGCAGTGAGTTTTGAGAGATATCTTATCATTATTTCACTATCACAAATCCAAGATCTGTAGATCGGTAGAGTTTAACAACAACAATGTCATGCATCATGCATTGTGCAAACACAATCTTTAAGTATTTTTTATCTCTAGCTCTGTAACAAACTAAGGTGCCACAATATGTGAGAGATTTAGTTTTTAACACACCCTGTATCTTTTATACTCTTGCAACCGTAACCCTAAATCAATTTTACCTTCTCAGGCTACGCTGTTGATTAGACATGATCTCATACCTAATTAAAGAGAAGACGGCATTCTATCACAGGGTGTTGTTGCCCTCGGGATGTAATTTTGTAGAGAATTAAGCATGAAGGTGTATTCTAATTGACAGTAATAGCTGAGGTTTCCACAGTCATTATGCATTACATAGTGTCATGCAACTGTTAATTGTAGATAGTCTATTTATTTGGTTGACTGGAGTATTATGTTTGAGATTCACCCAAAGTTCAAAGGTCATGGTGTTTTGTAGGAAGAACTACCAATGCAATGATATGAAATAGATGTTTACATTTTAACTTTTACATTAGAAACATAATTTAACATAAGATGGAATGAATCCCCTATCTTTATCACGCAAGAGCAGAAAGAGATGACCAAAGAAATATATTCAGACTTTGACTGACTGTAAGAGTGCATTTATTTGTATCAATATGACCAACATATTGTGAAGGGGTAAAAAATGGTATTTTCAACATTGGTGCCAAGAAAGGATCCATGAGTTGCAACACCATACATAAACAGATGGAGCAATGATTTATCAAATTAAAAAAGCATTATGTGAGTGTTGAAAGGTGCTAAATGTGTGATTTTTTCTCTGCCACCAAATGTGGTGTCTTTTTTGGAGCAGGTGGCAGTGAAGGTCGCTTGCCAAGAGCTTCTGCCATCTTCGTGTGTACAAGATAATACGGCCCATAAGTAGAGCTTCTTCTTTTGGGATGAGTAGATGATACAGTGACCTGCTATCAGAAAGTGATGAGTCAGAGCTAGCTGGTTAGCATTCTAACTGAAGTAGAAGCAAAGAATTGTTAGAAATAGAAGCCAACGTAAAGGAATGAGATTTAACAGCTTCTGCATCAAAGCTACGCTGTAGCCTATGCGTGGGCGTGTACCTTATGCAGAGGCCTACGCAGTACTCTGTCGTGCACCTCCCCAAAATGTCGAGGTGAAGCAGACCACAAACGTACCTACGGCATAGCTTCGACGCAGGGGCCTTAAGTCCCTTTGCTCTCGTTAGTTTTGATCTGCTAATCGCCACACCCCAAAATTGGCACCAACCAACTCATGTTCTCATCAACCTACCTGAGTTGCCAAAGAAGAACAAAACAGACCACTGTATCAGCAGTGACCTAGACATGTCAGACAAGTTCAAACAATGGCACAGTCACGTTCTTAGTCAGTCCTTACAAGGAAATCTTCTGACTTGGAAATGCATGTGTGGGTGTGTTTGCTTATTTTGGAGTTCTGACCCGTCAGTATAAGGTTCTGCATTGGTAATGAACAAGACTTTCTACTCACCTGCAGTGCCTGTGTGGCAACACGAACCTGGTGAAAACAGGCGCTCACACCAGAGAGCCAAGTACACTTGTACGCACACACTATGTACACAAGCATTTATATGAATACACCCATATTTCCAGGGAAATGCACTCATCCACACTGTGGAGGTGAGGGGGCGGGGAGAGCACCTTCACCTGCACCACAGAGGATCAGTCAGTGCATGTGAGAACTGTAGAATCAGCTAGATTGATCCTCAGGTTTAAAAGACAGCAGTTGAGCTGCCTCAGAAAGGACACTCAGGACTGAGATGCACAGGGAGAGACGGAGCTGAAAAGCTACCCTTTACGTTTAGTACTTACAAGAGTTTTGTTTTGATTTAATAAAATAAAAGATGCTGTGGCATGGTTTACTGCCACACACACACACACTCACCTTTGCACATCTGGCTCCACTGCACATGCACTTTGACCTTGGCCCAGATATGTTTGTCACAGGACTAAAAGTGCAGGAGAGGATCATTTTAGATATGAATGTTAATGACAACAAATTGAATAAGAATCTATTCATTGCAGCATTGTTTCAATATATTGTGGTTTGGGGATAAGGTAGATTATGCCATGTGACCTCCATGATGCAGCTCAGCCATCACCCAAGTGAAATAACTTAGGCATGACCACTGAAGGCTACATAACATGTCTTTACACACCATGCTTTGCATAGCAGTTGTTACATTTGGTGCAAATTTGACACTAATTACGTGGAAAATGTATTCGTGCCACTAAACTTTGAGTTTCTCCAATGTTACCGCATACATAGACATTTAGTAAAAACTATTTTACCCAGTTTCCTTGTATTCAGTGTGCTATTTAACTGGCTAGTTAAACACTGACTTTGGCAGCTGTCCCTTATCAAACACATAAAAAGACATTTTCTCATCCAGTCTGTTTTTGATGTTCTTGTAGCTCCACAGCAAAAGTTATGTGATGCAGGGTTTGAGTTTCAGACTTTCATTTGTTCCAAAGACATTCTGTTTCTCTTTTTGCTTCCCTCCGTATGTGAAGTGGCTGTGTGGGTGTTTTTGCAGCACTGTGGCTGGTTGCCTGCCAGTGACCGTACTTTGAACCAGCAGCAGCTGGGGCGTGAGCGAAAGCCAAAGATAGACGACCATCTCTCTCTCTCTCTCTCTCTCTCTCTCTCTCTCTCTCTCTCTCTCTCTCTCTCCTTCTCTCTGATAATTTCTGTCTGTCTCTTGCCCATCTTCCTCCTCCTCTCTTTGCCATCCTTGCATCCTCTTCCCATGTCTCTGAGCTCGCTCTGCCAGAGTTCTAAAAGCTCCATTAAGGAGAAATCTGTGATGCAACCCTGCCAAGCACATTTTTCTTGCCTTAATTTCTTGGTCTTAAATCAGCGTTCCATACTCTACCAAGTGAGCACCAGCAGAACTTGCGGATCCTACGTTTTCTTTGAAATCCATGTTGTTTTATTTCTTTCCAAAGGTGACTCACTGGTTCCCCAGACACACTTATATTTCCAAAATCGCTGTTCATTTCAGCCGACAGGGTGGCCTCTATTTGTAATGTTAGTGTTGGAAATGTTTGGATACTCTCTGTCCCACCTCTTTTTTCTTCCTTTTTTTTCCTGCCTCCTCTCTCTGTTTCCCTCCTTTTTACCCATTCATATAGAACTGCTTCTTCTCCAGGTTCACTTGAGCCAGAGGGTCAGTTAGGTTCACGACCCAGAAGCAGCGGTGATAACTGTAACAGTAGAACAGGGAACAGAGCAGAAAACATTCAGAAAACAATAGTGCGGAAGCATTAAAACTTTATTTATAGAGGGTGTTATGTCATTTTTACATCTGCTTCTGTTCTGTGAAGCATGCACTTTTTGTTGTTGTTGTTTTCCTCTGGGTTCTTGTTCTAATAATAGCTTTTGCTTTTACCCTAAATAAAATGCTCACTAATGGACTCCAGGTTTCCTCTCTTCCTGTCCCCTCACATCTCGCTCGCTGCCTGTTTTCTTGCTTTAAATCTCGCTGAGTCAGGCAGAGGGAGGGGTTGCAGCTATATACAGCTGCCTTTGTCGTTCATGTAAGGAGAAGCAGAAGTGTTATGCTCATACTTTATCAAAGATTGTTATTCTGAGATTTCATAAGATTTCTGTCGAACTAATTACAGAAAGGTTAAGCAAACTGCATCAAAGCCTTTTTGATTGTAAGCGCTGGATTGCTTTGATAGTCTCTTTGTTTCACTTCCCTGTTATTAATGTTAGAGGGCTTGCTTTCAGGGAGCACATCGATTGTTCACTTGAAAACTTTGTCATAAATCAACCCACTTGAAACTTTGATTGTGAATAGGTTCACTTCAACAGAATCAGTTCACACCAGTTTGAACACTCCAAATTCTCATCCAATAAATTAAAACGAAAACCTATCAGAAGGTCCATGTCGCATGCTAATATGGAGGAGGCAGGGTCATTAAAGCAGCCAGCCACTAGTTGGTGATCAAGATGATGTGGATTCACTTTTGGGACCTATCATTCTGCCATGTTTATTAATACAGCATGTAGGTTATTAAATAAAAATACAAGTGCTACACACAGTACTGTACATGTATTGCACTGCAGTGAACACTTTTGAGGAGTTCCATGTTTTGGCCATGAGCTGCCATCTGTCAAGGGCCGGACTTTTTACCTGTCAGGTATGACATGTCAGGCAGCAACTCTGGACTGGTTTCATAGAGACACATTTTAATAAGACACATCTATCCTGTTTTCTGTTATTATTTTTTTCTTTTTCTCTTTTCTTCTGTCTTGTCCTCACAAACATATGTAAAGCYTCCTTMGGTCCRGTGAAAGGRYCTATATAAATTCAAGCCATTATRATTATTATTATTATTAATAATAAATGAAGCCAAAAGGGAGGAATGGAAGCATTGATGAAAGCAATCGGTCATTGGGCAGGAATAATAAGTCAGACAGCTTCAAGGGGAGAATAAGTTGCCCTTTGTTAAATGTTGTGAGTGTTTTGAATGTGAGTTAAATAAGAGATGTTTAATTTAAATTATATTTAGATAACAATAGTAATAATAAACTTGATATAGCACCTTCCAAAACACAGTTACAAGGTGCTTTACAAGTTAAAAAAAATTAAGAATCGCAGGCAAACTATAGGAAATAGTATTAAGCAGTTTGATTTTCACACAGTGTAAGAGCACAAATACAAGAAAAAACATTTTACAGATAAGAAAAAAGTAAATACTAAATAAAATAAAACATTATACAATGAGGAAGATCTAAGCTATATTAAAAGGTAAATAAACAAAAATCCCCAAATCTTAAACCCTGAGAAAGCACACTTATAGAAGTGTGTATTTAAGAAGAGCGCGACATGTTTGGTATTGGTAATACTCTTTATGTTGGCTCTAATGAATCCTTTCATTCTTTTCTCAGGTCAGTGGATTTACTGGGTGTTGGGTTTGACCCACATTCTCAGTCATGGCTCGTCTCTTAAACACCCTGGCAGCTACAGGAGGTGTCTTGAGCCCAAGCTGCTCACCAAGTGCCACTTCTAACATCCTGGTGCCACAGCATCAGACCTCTTCACACTGACTGTACTTTTGTCCAACTAGAACCAGAACCATTGTAGGTAGGGCCCAGTTATTTTCCTTTTTCCATATTAAAAACAGCCACAGTTATATATATATATGTCTGACTTACCAGCGGAATGGTGGAAATTAGAGCCCTATAATAGAACAAATCACACAAATCTGAGAAGTGGCTGGAGATGCTGGGGGAAAAGTTGAGTTTGAGGAAAAGGGCCATATTGTTGAGGTGAGGTCATTGCTGGAAAATGAAATTATGGGGCCCCCAATCCTCTCAGGAGACGAATAATGGGTGCTTCTTCCCGTCCCTGAAGGAAAACAAATATTAACTGCTGCTGTAGATGAAAATCATTTTAATGGGAAAGAGAATATTTTTATGCCGCTCTGGCTTTGGCTTGAAATGCAATGAACAAACTTACTTTCGTAATTTATTTTTTAGTGTATACAAATCTTCTATTTATTCTAGGTGTTTTTTTCTCAATGAGCCCTGTGTTATATAATATGCAGCATTAACATTTAAGAGTGAATAAACACATAAAGGGACATTTTCTTGCTTCAGCTGGGCGCAGTAACTTTTTTAGTGAGTCTAAAACCAAACATGGACATGAGCAAACATGAACTCATCTGAGGGGCAGAGAGGGAAAGTTGAAACAGTTTATTAACTAACGTCCGCTCTCCACTCGTTCAGCCTCAATGACTCTCCTCGAACCCCCCCAAACCCATGTGACGATGAAATGGGTCATTTTGGTCACGAGAGGTGGGGTAGCTCAGATAGCGGATGAATGAAACTCTTGTACCACCACCTCTGTATCAACATCGTCATTGACAACCAGCGGTGTTGATTTTAACGCCAAATATAGAAGCAGTATGCCATGTAATGTACCCGCTTTAGAAACTGCAGTGTGAGCTTACAACTTTGTGATGCAGGGTGGTATGACATCTTCTGCAGCCAATCGTTTACTACGGGTTCCTTTACTTTTTTTTTCTTACCCAATATGGTGAAAGAAGGGAAGGGCTGTTAAAATGATGATATCACTCAGCTACTGTGCACTGTTTCAGCAGTTTTCACAGACGCAGTCATTGGTTTAAAGAGGAACTTTGTCGCCTTAGTAACCCCCCACACTTCCTGCAAAGTAAGATAAACAAGATGTGCCTCTACTAACAAGAAATGCAAAACCAATATACAACCGGTGATATATTTAACATAAGTCAGAAGAACACAAATAATATAAAATATGATCAGTGTTTCATTTGTTTCAGTGACGTCAGGTTTGCTTGTAGTTAAGTCACACCATCTTCTTAAAATACAATTTTGGATCACTTCCTCTTTTCACTTTATTGTTTATAACCATGAGCAGTTGCCTTAGCAATAATGGAACAACAATGCCATGTGTGCCAAATGTATTTTCACAAGATCTGCCTTTTTATTTGTATCTGCACCAAATTTCACACACACTTAAATATCAGTCCTCTAAACATGCCTGTTTTTATTTTTTATCAAAATCCATGAATTATTCTCTCAGAAATCACCGTGAAAGAAAAACCTTGGTGGGGGTTATAAAGGTGCAACAGGGAGAAATATCCCAACTGTGCTCAAAACAGCTTTCGAATCAAACCCATTTGATATCCAGAGCAGCTTCTTGTACAGTTGTTTGTGTCTCTTCAAGAAACAAAGGGCAGTTTGCACTTGACTTTTTATAGGCCAGACAGCTTTAAGAGTAAGGGGGGAGGGGGAGTAAAGAGGATTTTTAGGTGGAAAGGCTGTTTGGGTCTGGCTCGCTTCCTGATGGTGACTCAGACAAGGCTGGAGGGGTGGGGGAAAGGTTGGGGGGGGGGGGGGGGGGTGTGATGGGTGTTCCCCCAGTCTACCGTCTGTGTTGTTGTTTTTTCCCCTCCTTTATGTGACTCTCCTCTGTCATTCTTTAACCATTTCATCACAACCCTTTCTGTTTCTATTTTTTCCCCTCTCTGCCCCTCCTGGTTTCTCTCAGAGGTGGGAGCCGGGCAGGGGTCTGTCCTTATAAGGCCTAGTGAGGGGGTCTGGTGACAATAGGCCTGCTGTTGACATTCACTGCAGTGCCCTGTCTCTCCCAGGGAACAGAGTGGTAGGTGCTTCCTGACGGTCCTGCTACACACGCAGATGCTGAAGGTAAACAGGAAGCAGATAAAAAAGCAACTCAGCTCCTGGGGTTGACATCATCATGTGTTTTCCAACTCTCTTCTGAGGCTTTGAAGAGGTTTTCTTTGTAACAGGAGTCTGGAACTAGACACTTAAAACAAAAAGTTGTCTCACTAGGCAGAATAGGCCTGTGGTGTCCTGTGGTTTTTACCTCACAGAGGTATTATCCCTGTTTTTCTTTCTTTGTCTTTCTGTCTCTATCTGTGTCTTTTCAGCCAATAAGATAAGAATCAAATCTTTATTCTGCCAAGGAGGTTATGTTTTCACCCCCTGCACCTTTGTTTGATGGGTTGGTTTGTATGTAGGTTTTGTTCTTAAGCATGATTTGTCCAAAACATCTGAATGGTTTGCTATGGGATACGGTGGGAGGATAAAATATTGGTCAGGAAAGAACCCATTCAATGAATTGTGGATTCGGATCAGGGGGTGTGAGGGTGTTTATTCACTATTTCACACGTTTCTCACCGAATAATTAATTAATCTTGATTAACAATATCAGGCACATTTAGAGAACTGATATTATGAGTGTGTGCAATTTGGTGCAGCTTGATTGGATTTATGGGGACTGCTTAGCCTTGGCAGAGGAATGACTGCATTCTAGTCTCATTCAGGATTGGATGCTGCCATTTCTCTGCCAAGTTACATTCCTTGGATTTTCATTAGATGTTTAGGGAGAGAACTACTGTGTAGAATTTCAAAATCCACTTAAATACAGTCATATTGGTCTATTTTTCTGATTATTTGTTGAGTTTGAAATCAAAAAAGCAAACCAGACACATGTGCCTCTCATATAATGAATATGACCAGCCATCCCAGAAGTGTAACAGCCCCAGGGAAACTCCTAATTCCTTTTCTCTTAATTATCTTTCACTTCATTACCTCAGGGTAGCAGAGTGTGCTAAGTAGAGAAGATAAAAAGAAATCCTAATCTAATATAATAAAACAGAAAATCCACACAGGATTTGACCTTCTTCCATGGAATGGTGTTTTAATGACAACCACATCTCAGACAGTTGATGAATGTAACCTTGAGTTTAAGGTAACCTCAGATGGGACATTCCTGGTAAATTACTTTTCATATACCTGCTTTTTGACATGCCAATCATACTGATGGAAGACAACATGATTGCCTCTGTGATGACTTTCTAATGTGGTAAGAGCTTGCCTTGTAGTATTTCTCACAGGCCATCAAAATCATGGAGTTGTCTGTGTTTGCCACTGTGTCTACTGTTTGTGTTTTATCAGTGGGTTATTGATTCATTGGTATCTTTAGTATCAGTTTTAATTGATTTCTCCTCCCTGAAAATGATTTTCTCATACTTTATCTTCGTGCAATTGTTTTGTTTCAACTTAGATTTTTTTATTAGTACTGCGTAAGGCCAAACAATCAGAATGAAATTTAATCAAGATACACTTGAAAACACAACATATCTATTGTAGTAATAATTACCTAATACCTGGACTATATGAGCTTTTTAAATGTAAGATTTAACCTCTATAAACATAAGAACATAATGTATAAACAAAGCTGTTTGTGATATGAAAGTTGCTGTAGAAAACTTTGTATTTGTTCCTCCATCTTTGTCCCCAGAAGACAATAGCTTATTGCTCCACCTATGCTACGTATTTTTCCTGTCAAGACAATTAACATATATATAATGTTTTCCCTTTTCCCTCTCTTTTTCCGTATTTTACGCTTGGGTTGGATTCTTTTTCTTTGTCGTTGTCATTTTTAAGGCTGTGTAAGTGTATGTTAAATGTATAAGTTAGTCAAAGCTATTCTTTCAAAACAATGCAACAAGTTTAGAAATGTAATGATTCAATTGCTAGAAAGGCTGAGAGCAAAGAGGCGTAGGGCTCTCAACAACAAACTAGAAAAGCAAACAAATGGGGCACGTGTGGAAGAAAAGAGTGGGGCTGTTGAGTTGATGAAGGATGGAGCTCTGGGAGAGAGATAAATGTAAGAATGAGAGCCCTGAGAATTGAGTCTGAGGATGCAGAGCAGATATGATAAGAGGATGCTCATCGAGTTTCTCAGAATTGATTTCTGTGGAGGTTGTGAGGCTTATATTATATCTCAGAAACACTGGTTACTCCTTACATTTGCATTGTAAACTCACACCACCCTGTGCACATGGTTGCCATGGAGCAGCATAATGCTGTTGTTGTATTGGTATTGGTAACCAGGCATGAAGGGAGAGCAGGGTACAAACTAAATGACTCATACAGAGAGTGGCGCGCCCATCCTCTTCTGCAGATTCTTGAAACACGGTCATGAAATGAATGAATATGAAATTCTTCACATTAACAATGTATATTATTATTAGCTATAGTAACCAAAGTAACCAATGTCATTACATCAATGTGTCTGTGTATCGAGACTTTGTGGTTTCTTTGAAGTATGATGCCTCACAACTCATTTACATTTTATTTTTCCATGAATAATCTTGCCTAAAACATTCAAATGTACATCTAACGTACAAGTTACCAAATTACTGGCAAATAACCAACAATCAGAATGAATCAAACGTTACACTGCATCTAAACAATCGCACAGAAGTCGACTCTTATGAAAGACCGACAAAACAACACACTTGTAGATGTCAGCCACCAGTGTTGAACAGAGTAAACAGAGCCAGATGGCACTGACAACACACTGCCGGCATGGGCAGAGACCAGCATGGAGAACATTTAAAACAAAATGAGACGTGACAAGGAAACAGGCACTTAAACACAGAGGTCAACTTGTCACACTGTGTTACTTCTGCTGCAAAGCTGCGTCCACAAGGCTTCAACACATACTGCTGAGCTCTGCCAGGATGTGTCCACTTTTCCCTCGGGAGTCCACAACCTGACAGTGTTTACTAAGGACTAGTCGAAGTGCCACTGGAGGTGAAGGCCACATGTCGCACACGCAGATACTCATGCACTCACACCTTTACTGTGTTCAACAGTGTGTCCATGTTCTTCTGTAACAAACATTGTTCCAGTGAGCTGGAGTTTTTTTTTTTTTTTTTAGATTGTGGTGTGCTGAGCCGCAATATAGGGCAATGTGCTAGGTTACATAAGCAGTTCAGAGATCGTGTCTTCTAGTAAACCACATAGGGAAAGAAATGTTTCATTTTGTCTTGCAAAAGGCGGTAGAAAACATTTTCTATGATTACTGATTTTCCTCAAATATTTACTTGTCGGGGTAGTTACACAACTTTGTATCTGCTGCATGTTTGTTTGCATGTCATATTACATTTACATCTTGGGACTGTCTTTGTAGTTGATTATGTTTTGGCATGGAGAGCCTGGCATGGGATTATATGGGAGTAACTGTTCCCTGCTCTATTATAAGCACTTTCAGGAAACTGCTGGTTTCGTAAGGCCTAGGGAAAATCTGCATAAGTACACAAAACAAAAAAGTCAAGAGACAAAAGGACAAACAATGTTTTCTGTTTGTTGACAGTGCAAGGAGACATGTACATGATCTACCTCAGTGACTACCGGGTGTGGGGTTAGCTGCCCCTATGCCCAAAAAGG